GTAATTATTAATTTGCAAATTATACAAGTAGTCCAGAAAGTGATATATGTCGAAAGTCTTCATACTATTTTAATTTTTTAGAAATTTATTTGTAATTAGCTACGGAATTAATTAATAAATTAATTATTATTAGTATATTATTTCAATTATATTCTGTTGGTGATTTCATGTATAGTCCTATAAAAGCATTACTCGTAGCATTTAACAGAGTAAAAAAAAAAAAAAAAGATAATAATAATTTTGGGGGAGTAAATTAAAAGTGTTTTAAGGCCAGAGGCAGAAAATTAAATCAGCCGTACCCTGAGCTTACCATACTTCTGCCAAACAAATTAAAAGATAAACAGTAGATGGTCTCCTCAACTTCTGCATTATCAAAGCGTAAACAGTAGTTTTTTGTTTTTTGTTTTTTGTTTTTTAATACTTGCATCATCATTATTCTTGGATTATTACAAAAAGAATATGAAATCTAAAATTTGAACTCACACCCTCGTAACATAGAGTAAAAACATCAATCATTTCTTCAATTATACTTAATAATTCATCTAATAACTTTGTCCGACAGTAAATTTAATAATAATGGTTGAAAAAGAGCAAACACGATTGAAAAAAAGAAACATAATTATCGAGAAAAATAAAGTAGATCTAATAGCAAAAGAGAAACATGATTGAAAAACATCGACGACGACGAAGACAACAAAACACTAATCTAAACAAGAGAAAGGCCTTGAAAAAGCACAGCATCAGCAAGAAGTTGATTGGTAGCCTCAGACAAATGGACTGTATCCCAAAACACGTACTCATCTGCATTTGAACATATCCCTTCTCTTCCTGGCTTGCATAAGTATCTGTTTGTTTTTACACTCCCGGCTCCACAACATCCTTTTCTTGCTTCCACAAAACCTGCCATTCATTCCCATTTACTTAAATTATAGAGATGAATATGTAGATATCATAAGTATTATAAAATTCAACCGGACTATTGTAGCACCTAAATGCTTTTCTTTTTTTGGTAGTTAAAATGGTTCCGAAGAAATAATTACCGTGCTTGGAAGGAGATTGGACAATCTCAAGGAGCGGATTGAAGATGTCAAGAACCGTAATCTTGAGATCGGGAAATTGTTTCCTTAAGCTTGCTGCAGATGAATTAATCTTGTCATTGAAATTTTGTGCACCCTTATTAATGCTAATAACACAGCCTTTCTCATGGGATCTGAACAAATCAATTGCTGCTGGAAGACAACCTAACGGTGGCAATGAAGTCACCCCAATTCTTCTAGCTCCTAATCCATACAACTCCTGTTTTGCAAAATTTTTTGTTATATAATATTTTTTTCTGGGTTAGTGCTTTATTGGCCAAATTTTGTTTAAAAATTGACTTCTCGGATCATCATCGATGCTTATTAATCTCAATAATCTAAGTAAAAGCAGAAGCATAATAGAATATTACCTTGACGAAATTTGAGAAGGAAGATGCAAGAAATGAGGCATATTGGTCAGGAGTATATGCCTTTTTAAGTGAAGAACTAAGATAATAATTCTGTAGAAAATCAGCAGTGCCAGCACTCAATACATAGAGTGCTTCTTTGACGATATATTCTGATTTGTTGCCACCCACCAACTCATTTAATTTACTTTTGTACTCCTTGAAATACTCTAGTTGTCCAGACAAAGGTATTGCTTGCTGCAAACAGCCCACCAATAAATATATATACACGCATATAATAAACCATGTATAGATAAAAAATCTCCTAAACTGAAACAGACCAATGACTAAAATAGTAAGCAGTTGAAAACTCAGATAGATATTAAATAATCGATTGAACTTATAATTGTATTTTACTTTGTGGACGGCGGCATCGTGGTCGTAACCAGCTGCAGCCGAAGCAAAACTGGCACCAAGAAGAAGGTTTTTCCCGGAAGCTTGTGGGCTAAGATATGGTGGAGGATAAGCGTGGAAGCCCATAATGTCAGCTGTAATGAAAAGACAGAGCACTCTGTTTTAACTTTTTATGTTTTGTTTAAACTTTATATATGTGTGTGTGTTTAAGAAGACGATGAAAGAAAAAGTTTGACTCACTGAGAATGTCTATAACCAGTTTGCCATTACAGAACCTTCCAGTGGGTTTATGAGTGATGAAATCTGTTCCATAAGGAGCGTAATTAGCTTTGAAAGTTGTATGGCGGTGATTGTTGTTGCCGACGTCTAATGCCGAGTCTCCAAACGTTATCACCGCCGGGAAAATAGGCGCTTCATCTCCACAAACTGAATATGCAAACACGACCAGAAAAACCAGAACTTTCATATAATCAATCTTCATTTTTAGACATATGTGTATGTAGCTACTTGCACACACCTTGTATGTACATGCATATATATATATATACACACACACATACATACAATGAGACGCAGGGAGTGGTAAGTAGAAGTAAATTTAATATTTCTTTTTAAAAAATAAAAAATAAAAATTAACTTATTTCGTATGATTTTTGTACGCTAATCATAATAAAAATTTGTAAAACTTAAAAGAAAAAAATAGGCAGTACAATTCAGGATTTGAATTCATACCATTATAGAAATAGGCTTTATCTTATGAATTATAATTATTCATATATATTTTAAAAAATAATTATCAAATTAGTACCTAAAATTTATTACATAATATAATTTAATTTATACTATTTTTTTTATTACAATACGATCTCTATATTTTTTATTTATTTCAAATATTAATTTTTTTTTTAATTTTTTAATAAAAAAAGTTAAAAAACTAATAAAAAATATTTAAATATTTTAAAAAGATTCACATTAATTAAATTTATAAATTACTAGCAATAAAAATAGAAATAACATTTTTATTAATTTAAATAATTGGTCAAAGTTATTAAAATATTTAAACAGAATTCAATTATTTTAGTTTTTTTAATTAAAAAATAGTGTTTGAAATATAAAAAAACAAATATCGAAAACCAAAATGTAATAATTTTTTTATTCATAATTTGTAATTTTATTTATTATTAAACAACAAAAAGAGCATTTAATTTGAATTGCATTTTGGATTTAGAATATAAAATTTGTTTTAAATTTTTTTTTTTAAGGAATTAAGAGTTGAATTCAAAGTCAACGCCCGTCTTCACCCTATTCACACCGAAACGTGATTAGTCATATATTTGTTACAAAATAATTGTTTTTTTAATTTTATAAAATATGTTATTATGAACTTTAATGTGCGTAGCTGCTAATACCTAACCACGCATTTCAAAATCAGAACATTAATTATATATCTAATTTTCTTATATTTTTTTTTTGAATTTCCAAATTGGTCTTCATAACTTTCAGCTGTTCCCCACTCTTAATTCAAGTTTTTTACACTGCAGAGATGTGTTCTAGTTATGTTATAATTAAATTTCAAAAAAAAAAAAAAACATAAAATTTTATTTTATATATAAAAGTAAACCCAAGATTTATAAATTACATAGAATTAAACCCAAATAAAAATTTTCAATTAAAAAAGAAAATATTTTATTTGGATCGTACATAAATCTTTTACATCAACTTTCATCTAGAATTATATACTACTATAATTTTATTTTTTAAATTGAAGAAAAGTTAATTTATTCTACTTATAAAATTTGACAAAAATATTTGCATGAAAGAAGATAATACATAACACCAATCGGACAAAAGACCGACAAAAAAGCATTTAATGCATGCAAAAAAATAAAGATAATCATTTAATATATATTTTTTTTAAAAAAATGTTATTATTTTTTATGAAATTGTCTATTTAAGTTAAATTATTATTTCGTATTATTTAATTATTACAATTTATAATCTTTTATTAAAAATATAATCTAGAATATGTAATAATATATGCATATAAATCAGTTTTTATTTACCAAAACTAATTTTTATTTTTCCTGTTTAATCAATAATCAATATTAAAGGCATCCACGTTGGAAGTTGAAGATTTACAAGAAAATTTCTAGTAATGTTATCTTAATGGGATTAAACTCTGTATTTAATATACATAAATAGATAATTATTAGTGTAATAATTCACTAAAACAGAGTATTCACAATATATTACAAAATAATAATTTTTAAACATAATAAGTAAGAGATAAATTTGTACACTAATTTATAAAATAAATTATTTTTTTCAATTCAATGTAATAAATTGAACTTTCGATAAAAAATAACAAAAAAGCATATCAATTGCCAAGGAATTTTCTTTTCTAATAAGATATCAAAACAAAATATGATTTAGCATATTTTTTCTTTTCTAACAAAAGATCAACAATCAAAGTCTAATATGATTAAAAAGCTCTTCAGCTCAATAATTTCCTCTGATTTTCCTTCTCGATAATCTCGTTAAAGAGCTCAAGTTAAAGAACTCTAGTTCTTGTTTTTTAAATCTTCTTTCTTCAAAGAACATGGAAAATATCATCTCTCAAGTTTTTTTTATAATAAAATACACCCTCGATGATCCACTTGGTCATTTCTTTCGTATCATTCATATGGTCTAGATATAATACTGACGTTTCAGCAACTCACTGGAGATAATTACACATTCTATAACAAAGTGATGCAATCGCACTTTTGTAAAAAAAAAAAAAAGTTAGGGCTCATTGATGGATCTGTAACGAAGCTTGATGATAATGATCAAAGTCTTCTTACTCATGGATTTGTAAAAATAATATGATAATTTCCTTAATTTTAAACTGTATCAAAAGAAACTTTAATAGGTTTTATATTTTATGAGTTTGTATCTAAAATGTGGATTCACCTTCATGATCAATTCTAGCAAAGCACCAATTCAAGAATTTTTTAATTCATATGAGATCTTATCTACCATGTATAGAATTAAAACTTTGTGATTGTATATTATACTAAGTGGGAAGAGTTGAATAATTTTTAACCTATATGTTCTTGTGAGAAGTGCATGTGTGGAGGGATTAGTGAATTTTATAGTTGTTTTGAAAGTGAATATGTTTCATCCTTTCTCATGGATTGAATGATAGTGTCTCTTAGATAAGAGGACAAATCCTACATATAGATCTCTTTCCATTTATAAACAAAGTTTTCTTCCTAATTTCTCAAGAGGATTAGCAACAAGCTATTAGTTTACCTCTACTTTGAAGTTAACTGAGTCATGTGCAAGAGTGACTTTCATGACTAAAAGTGAAAACTTTAAAAGGCATTATACGAATAAGAATTCAAGAAGAGACATGCCTTTTTATGCTAATTGAAAGAAAATGATATTCATCGACTAAGCTATCCAAAACTAATGATTTGTGTAAAAAATAATAAATAAAAGTAAAGGGGAATACCAGATTGCGCAGGTGGTGTTCCACGATGGTGATGGGTGAGGAAGCGAGAGAATCGTGAGGGAACTCTTCACTACAATGGCTGAATGAGGCAAACACCTATTTACCTACAAGAAAGACAAGGAAGAATGCGAGAAATAGAGAAAAATAGAGGCTTTTTAATGCTGTGTCAACTGCAATAGAGGAGGAAAGCAGAGTAGGTATGCTATTAATGAAACAAAGCATTTTGGTGTGGGTTAGGTCGGTTTGCTTCATACAAGACCGATAATATCGTCCCTCAAGATGGAGAGCACACATTTTCTACTCCCATCTTGATCATGTGTTCCTTGAGAACCCAATTAAATGAAGCTTTAGTGAAAATGTCTACTAGTTATTGTTTGTTGTTCACATACCTCGTGACTATACTCCCTTCCTGTACTTCATCTATAACTAAGTGGCAATCTGTCTTAATGTGTCTGGTCATCTCATGAAATATAAGATTAGCAGCTATATGTATAGTAACCTTGTCATCCCAATATAAGTCTGTTGCTTCTAAATTACACATTTTAAGGTCATCAAATAAGTACTTTACCCAAGTTAACTCACAACATACACTCACATAGCTTATATTCTGTCTTTATTGAAGATCTAGAAGTTGTTTGTTGTTTATCATATTTCCAAGATATCAATGAATTTCCTAAAAAATATAATATCTTGTAACATATTTTCTTGGGTCTGGACTTCCTGCCTAATCACTGTTAGTATAAGCTTTTAGTTTTAATTTAGATGTATTTGAGTAAAACAAACGTTGACCTACTGTACCTTTAACATACCCTAAGACTTTGTATGCAGCCCTCAAGTGACAGTCTCTAGGACTCTCCATGAATTGGCTTAGAATTTGAACAGAGTAAGCTAGGTCAGGCCTAGTCAATGTGAGGTACATTAACCTTTTAATCAACCTCTTGTACATTATTTGATCTAGTATTAGCTTTCATTCATCCTTCGAAAGTTTAATATTTTAGTTAAAGGAAGTGATGAGGTTCTGCTTCTTAGAACCTCTGCATCTTTCAAAAAGTCTAAGACATATTTCTTCTGGTATACATGAACTCCTCTTTTTGACCTAACAACTTTAATGCCAAGGAAATACTTTAAATTTCTAAATCCTTAATTTCAAATTTATTATCCAACGTTATTTTTATTTCTTTAATTATATATTCATCATTACCTGCCGTAATGATGTCATCAACATATACAAGTAGTACTGTAAAACTCTTACCATTAGTCTTTACGAAAAACCTGTACTTAACCTTAGACTACTTGAATACATAATTTCTCTTCTCTCCTTTTAGGATGCTTATGAGAAGTTCCATGTATACTTAATCATTTAAATCTCCATGAAAAAAAGGTATTTTGACATCTAGCTGTTGAAGGTGTCATCCGTTGATCGCAGCTAGAGCCAACAATATTCATAAGAAAATAATTTTAGCCACATGTGAGAATGTCTCTTGATAGTCTTGATCTTCTCTTTGGGTAAACCCTTAGCAACAAGTCTAGCTTTGTGTCTCTCGATGGTCCCATCTCCTTTGAATTTTACTTTATAAACCCATTTGCATTTGATTTCTCTCTTTCCTGTTAGTAAATCTACTATTTTTCAAGTATTATTTTCTTTAAGAGTTTGGAGTTTATTTTTCATTACATTTCTCCTGTTTGGGTCCTTGTTAGCCTCCTTATCTGAACTTGGTTAGTAATGGGATACTACACTAAGTATGTACTTCTTGTGTTCCCCTATAAGTTTACTGTATGCAACAGTGCTTGATAGGGGAATGACACCACCATTGTGAACTTCCAGATCAGGCTTATAAAGGCCCAGAATCTTAAAAAAAATGAATTTATATTTTAAATGTAGAAGCGAATAATAGAATTAGAATTTACATTTCTTACACAATAAATTAGAATACCTAATAGAGTTACAAAAATGTACATTCTAAAAGACAAACGGTAATTAAAGAAAATAAAGCGAATAAATAAGCAT